ACCTTTCTCCATTGAGTTGGAACATAATTAAAAATGAGACAATATTTAAAAATGGTCAGAAGCCAGTTTTGTATTTGATCCCAAGAGTTTTGCAGCTCAATAGGATGAATACCATCCGGTCCTGGTGATTTATATGGCTTAAAGCTGAAAATGGCCCATTTTGGAGTTTGTAGGTTTAACTTGATAGAGTTTACCGGTGCGTAGTTTAAACATTCTGAGGATTCCGTCGAAGCAAAGGATACAGGAAAGTGGGTATCTAGTAATAAATCTAGTGACTCCCTACTGTTATTTGACCAAGTCCCATCCGGTTTTCTTAGCAACTGAGGGACAGATGGATTTTTAGATAGGATTTTGCGTAGTCTAGAGGTTTCACTGCTTGATTAACTGTATAGATACTAATATGGACACCTATACCTCTTTGGTGAAGTTGATTCAAGTACAGACCTCAATAAAGTAAGTCTCAGTTTAAAAGACAATGGACTATATACCAAACGTAAGCGAGATTTTGGTTCAAGGGCTAAAGATTAAAGCTCCAACTAAGAAGAAGACTTTATTAAGGATCAATAGTTCTTCCACAGTAGTAAGCCGCACATATCTTATGGACTTTTTCGACAAAGTTTGCCTCTTAGTTTAGAGTTATGTTAATTATGGGATCCAAATATTTGACATTGATGCTTTAACTAAGCAAGGTATTTTTAATCTTACGAGGTTCGAAATTTGCTAAAGTTAATTTAGTGTTTACATTATTGTTTCGAGTTTTCATTTTGATTCTTGTTACATTTTTTAATATATTGATAAACAATCAACTCAAACCTTTTTTATGGAAACCTGAATTGTTATTTATAAATTGAAATTGAATAATTTGTTTTTTAAAATAATTGAACTGAACAAAAATGCATATTATTTGTAAAGTTTTGGAAAGGCTTTCGATTGGTATATAAACATTAGTTCTCTGACACGTATTTTTCAAATCATAGGAAAAAAAATTAGAAAAGTCGCTCAAAGTCGATTTCCACCAGCAAAGCTCGTAGTGTAAACCCCATATAAGGAACTGGTAGAGAGTTTCACATTCTACTGTAAAGTGTAATCTCAGTTTTACGGTATAACCTCAGTACAATAAGGGGTTTTATGGTATATTACGAACTTTGCTGGTGGAAGTCGACTTTGAGCTCAAAACTTATTACCAAAATTGACTTTATTATGTAATATCGGCATAACAAAGTTCGAACTTCCAACGAAAGTTAGGTGCAGTATTGAAAATAAAGCGTTATCGGTAAGTTTTAAGTAAGACAGATTTTTAAAATAATTTATTGCTAGTGTCAAGTTAACGACGTTGCTATGGACACTGGGTTGTTATAAATAAATTTAAAAAACTGAGTTATTTGTTGCACTTTTTCAGAGATAGCAACGATACTTCAATTTATATATATGTTAAATTTTAAATTTGCTATATAAATCAAATATGAATAAAGAATAGGTTAACTAAAATCAGTAGGGCTATAATTATTATTGATAAATGTAAATATGTATAGGTATGTAATTAGTCATGAAAGTGTTTTGATGAAGTGAAAAAATTGCATAGTATTTGTTAAAATATAGAAGTTATTTTTTATCATGTTGCACATAAACGTATTTATATAAAATACTTGAAAATGCAGAAAATTCAAAAAAGTGTTAATAATACATTATTTGCTTGCACAACAAATTTAATCGAATTTAAATTCTACTACATATTTTTCATAGTCTTCAGCAATCCTTAAAGTGAGGTGAACTGTTTGCATATGAAATTCGAAAAATTCTTAAGTACCTTCTGCTCAAAAAGGATTTTGTTGTTTGTTAACTACTTCTTAAATAATAGACCTTTTTCAAAATTTTTTTTTCGTTATGTTGGTACACCCTTTCTTGACATATGGTACAAATTTGAGCGCCATCTGTCAATTAGTTTGTTTACAGCAGCTGTTAATGTGAGACTACCTCAAGTGCATTTAGAGATTTTTATTATGAAAAATTCTTGTGGTACGCGATTTTTTGACCAAACACGGCTGTCAACACCACTGTCATCGCTCTTGCACCATATTCGCCAGATCCACCGTGCGACTTTTTCCTGTTCCCGAAACTTAAATTACCCCTTCGTGGTAAGCGTTTTGAGTCGATTAAATCGGTGAAAGAGAATTCGCCGAAGAAACTAAAAGCCATACTAAAAGCCGGGCATACGAAAAGTGTATGGAAGATTGGGTTAAGCGTTGGCATATGTATATCGCTTCAGAAGGAGCATATTTTGAAGGAGATAAAATAAATCTGGAATAGAATTTAAATTTGTGTGTTTTATTTACAAAATCCGAGTACTTTTTGAGCAAAAGGTAGGTAATAACAACATTCTGAATGTTGTTCAAATGTTTAAGCCAATTGAACCGTTTGTCAAAAGTGACCCCCAGATATTTTATGTTATCCTCCCACTGTATCTCCGTGTCGCAAACACTCACTCTTGGAGGATGCTGTCTTCTTTTTCGAGTTATAAATATAGCCTTGGTTTTGTCATTATTAATTAACTCAAAACTATTGTTATATTTTTACAACATTTTAGTAAATAATCATAATATCATAAATAATGCCAATTAAAATTTTATTATAATTATTTTTAAAAATTTATTAAATTTTATTTTATTATTCAGTAATAATGCTGTTTTGAATCTTATTATGCAAACAAATAACATTAAAAATTCTTGTGAAAAGTGTAAATTTTATTTGTCATCTTGACAATTTATCAAGAAAAGACCTTTTTATTTATAGCACAGACTATCAAGACCTTGACAAATTGTCAATCTTGACAAATAAACAAGTTGGTGAATAATTGACAATACTTAACAAATTTGTCAGGTTCACAGTGTATGTCCGTTAATATGTACAAAATAACATGTTTAATATGTAACGTTTTTTATATAATTTTACAAATTTTTAGAGATTGATATAGACAAATTATATTAATTTATAATTTCTACACATTCTAGTCCGTTCTTAAAATTATTGAGCACTGAGTTATATATACTAGAAACAAAATAGAATTAATCGCTATAACATTAAATAAAATATTACTAAAATGAAGTGAGCTACCAGTGTCAAATTTCCATTTTGCATTGAAAAAAAATATCATGGCCGTGATGTGACTGCAATCACAGCATGCCCTGTAGTCTTTATATAAAAAAGTTTCTACGAAGCTAAAATGTTACTAATTTTTTTTTTTGTATGGAGCACCAACAATCGAATACATTGCTGCCATAAGCACCATGTTGTACAGAGAGTCATGGTCACGTTAAATTTAAAATTGTTGTTGTTTTCAATATAAATTAAAATACTGAGAATAAGAACAGGAGAGAAATTTCTATTTAAATTTGGTCACAGTTACGAGATTTTGTGTGTTTCATCATGTAGCTTAAACTAGTCTTGCTCAGTAATAAATGCCAGACATTGTCCTATTGGTATTGCTGCAAACAGAACACATTCCGCCTTCCGAATGAAGGCCAGAATGTGGGCCGTTGAGGACCTCCTATTGTCAGAAGGGGAGAGTAGTTCTCCACCCAACGACCTCCTTCTGGTCGAGATCAAGAATGGGCCAATATTAATATTAAAAGAGTTGTTTGAAGATGGTGCCGGAACATGTGAAGGGCAATAATGCTGCCGTCAGCTGTAATCTACCAGTGGGCAACTTTCTAATTTTGAGCAAGCTACGTCGATCAGTTGGTGTTTGATAGCCGTTTAAAGCAGACAACCTCGTGAGTTTTTACGAAAATGGAAAAAAGTGAATTTCGTGTGCTGATTAAGCATTTGTGGTCAAAATCCACGAATTGGGATACGAACTGCTACCCCATCCAGCATATTCTCCAGATTTAGCCCCCTGCGACTTTCTGTTTCCAAATCTGAAGAAATAGACCTCACTTTTTTTAATTTTACTAAAAATTCACGAGGTTGTCTGCTTTAAACGGCTATCAAACACCAACTGAACGACGTAGCTTGCTCAAAATTAGAAAGTTGTCCACTGGTAGATTACAGCTGACGGCAGCACTGTTGCATTTGGAGTAACTGCGCGGGAAATTCAAAAAGTCACAGACTTATCAAACCGCTCTCGTATGTTACGATACTTATGACCATAATTATAACTTGTGTATCCGGTTTTTATTATAGTTAATCTACATAAAATTGGAAAGTTATTTCCCACATAAACAATTCCTTATAAAGATACTTAAATATTATAATTTCAGGATATGAAAATAAAATGAAGACTTGTGCATAACATTAAACTCGAGTAGAAATAGGAAGAGCTTCGGTATATAGACGTTCATTGTAGTGAAGTTTTATTGGACTTACTTATGTTCATAAATTAATGAATAGCACTATGGTATTGTTTTGCAAATTAATAGTCGAACTATTATTTTCTTGAGTCACAAATTTTATTCAATACTTTAAAAATTAATTGGTAAATAAATGAAATAAACTCCCACGACACGTAAATCCGTTCGATCACCAAAAAAGAATAGAGCGCCTACAAACAGTAGTTGCCAGATTGTTAGCACGTGTAATTTTTAACAGCCGTAAATGACGTGTATATTCCTACGTATATATTTTTTAATTTAATGTCGGTAGTAGTGGTTTTAATATTTATATTTATTTATTATAATAAAGTCAATATTTAACCATAAATAAAATAAATACATAAAAGTCAAGTACAGCTTTGGGGCACTTGGGTAAGGTGCGCTGACTCTGAAGTTCAAATTTGTCAGGACCCGAGTTAGATTACTGGTACTTGTAGTCTCAAAAAATTATTTACGAATAATTAAATTCAAGAATTATTTCCAAGACCACTGTTCATGGGTATTTGGCAATACTCGAAACAGCTGTATGATCAGCCAAAAACCTTCTTATAAATTAATATTTCATTATTATCTCATTATAAATAAATATATAAATAGTGAATACACAAGATATGTAGGTATATTACTAATTTATTTAAATATATTTCTTTGTTGTAAATAATAATTGTGAATTCAAATGAATGCAAAATGTAACCGATCCAGTTGCCGTATGTTCTTCGGTGAATTTTATATAATTTTATATATATAAAATAAAAATTAATATATTTAATTTCAGATTACATAGAAGTTATACAAAATGAGTGAAATCAAGTTTTGTGTTGAGTGTTAAAGGTAGTGTACTGTATGTCTTAAAAAAATGGCATGTGTAACTAAAACATATTTTGTGGTCAGTAGTGTCGTGTTGTTGTTGTTTTACGTTTTTTTTAATTTTATGTTACTTGAAAATTTGTGAAAATTTGAATTTTAACGAAATACGCAAATTTTGAATTATTGATAATGGCATTTCTTGTTCATAGCTGGGGCGCCAGCGAGACCTGTATTAGCAGAGGTATTACCAGTTGCACCTCCAGCAGCGCCATCTATATCCGAATTATCTGATTTGTTGGAATAATCAGAATCAGCAGAGTCTTCACTTTCCGATAAATCTTCATCACTTGAACATGGATCAAATTCAGCAAGATCTCCGGTAAAATATAACACAGCTTTAGGTATGATACGTGAGCGAAAGAACAATCCTACATCGAAGTCCAAAGTTAAGGTGTCCTTAGTCTCATCATCCATAGATTCTTTATCTTGCACAACAGGTGGATTAAAAAAATTGAAAAAGGATTTGCGTTTCACATTTTGAAATTTGCAAGCCGTTTTATTGCCTTTATCTTTAACCTTTTTCTTTACTGTAGTTAACGTTAGGTTCATGTCCTTTTTCCAATTGATTTCGCAGCCCTCGCTTTTACAAACCAACGGTCCTTCATACTGAAACGGGTTTTGTTTATTAGGTTGGAAGTTGAAAGTGTACTTTTTTGTGAGAACATTATCAGTGAAATAATCATTTTTATCAAAATGAAATTCTAACGTAAAAGCACTGTCCTCATCACACCTCTCTCTTATATCAACTAAATGCTTCATAACTGGTTCATCGTGTTCTTGGATCAAATGAGCAATCACATCTACATTGCGCAAAACCGTAAACCAAAAATTTGGAATACCGATAGCGTCGTTGGATATCTTATACTCGTTCAAAACTTCCTCAAAGGAATAATCACCATTTGCGATTGTGTCAATTGTATCGAACTCCTTCCACTTTGGCTCTTGCTTTGGTGGATCAAACTTACCAGAAATTATTTCGAATCTCTTCTCATAAAACTTTTGGCTCTTAGCAGCGTACTTCACCTCTAAGTTATTCATTTCCTTGAAGAATTCGGAGTCCGCGTCTATATGTTCTAGTTGAACATTCTTCAAAACAGTCACTCGATTTTGTATAGCTTGGGGGAAACTCTTTACCATCTCATGCAGAAAATGACGGCGCTCTGCAGCTTCCAAAGACACAGGTAGAAACTTCTCAGGCTTTTTGTTAGTGCAAGTTTCTTTAGAAGAACCACATTCCGTGGATAGTTTAGCTTTTTTGGCTGAAATAAAAATAAATGTCTATTTTACGTATGAACTCAAATAAGAAGAAAATAAAGGAATAAATTATGTATTTCAAACAGATATATACTTTCTATAATTGCTGTGTGTTTCGCAATTTAAACTGGTTTTCGGAGATTTATTAAAATTATTTTATTTGTGAGTCTTTTTAAAAACTTTCTTATCGGTTTTTCTTTATGGTTTCTGACGCCGTATTTGACTTTTAATTGGGACATATTTGGGTTTTTCATGACCTATAAGCCCGAACTTATACCAAAGTTTTTATACCGATTGATTGAATTAACATTAGCATTTAACATTAGTAATTAGTAATTAGTTATCACCTATTAGCAACAAAGTTAAATTAGGTGACTCATTAGTCTCGAAATTTATGTCTCGCACCACATAACAATGAAAATAGAATTACTTACCGGACTTAGAGCGAGTTTCCATTATTAAATTGAATGGCTTTCGTTGCTAAACAAAGTCAATTAATGAAATATGATTGTTGTTATTAATTTAATATTTGACAACTCAAGAAAAATTTTTATTTTAAAAAGTGTTGACACAATCTTACATGCTTGTCAAACATGCGCAAAAAGAACTTATAACTATAAATATATATTCTGCACTTAGCGGACGATGTGAAGATAAATATATTTTTAAATCTACTCCCTGAAATAATGTTTTTCACTGTGTTAGTGAACTTTAAATCAAAATATAAGCTGAATTACAGTTGATTTTATTTTATTAATATACGAGGGCGGTTTGATAAATGAGTGACTTTTTGAATAAAACAAATTTTTTTCGGCAAATAAACATTTTATTTTTCTACATAATCACCTTTTAGCTCGATACATTTAGTCCAGCATTTTTCTTTTTTTCTTATTCCCTCCCAATAACAGGTTTTCTCAAAACTTTCAAAACACGCGTTTGTTTCGGTAATGACTTCTTCATTCGACTCAAATCTCTTACCGCCCAGTCATTTCTTTGGGTTTGGAAACAGAAAATATTCGCAGCGGGCTAAATCTGGAGAATTTGCTGGATGGGGTAGCAGTTCGTATCCCAATTTGTGGATTTTGGCCATCGTGACTAGACAAGTGTGCACACGTGCATTGTCTTGATGAAACAGCTTTTTCTTTTTCGCCAAATGCGGCCGTTTTTACTTCAAGTCAACGTCGAATCTGTTAAAAAACTTTGAATAATATTCGCCTGTGATTGTTTTACCTTTTTCGAGGTAATCGTTGTGAATGACACCGCTTGCATTCCAAAAAACTGTGTCCATGACCTTGTTGGCTGACAGACTCTGTTTGGCCTTTTTTGGACCACGTTCACCCCTAGCAATCCACTGTTTCGATTGTTCCTTGGTCTCTGTTCCTTGGTGTTGTGATGGATCCATGTTTCGTCCACAGAAACAAAACGATGCAAAAATTCGTTGGGATTACGGCTAATGATCGCTAAACACTCTTTTGAAGTGGTCACACGATTGCGCTTAGAAAGTGTTCCAATTAAGACGTTTATGTAGATCGGAGCATTCAACAGACGTATCTTTTAAAGACAGGGACTTAATATTCAGTTTAATCTTCTGGAAAATGGTACAATTCTTTTCATCTCATCTCATCTTTTTCAGGTTAATACTTAGACCTTCTTTTATGCTTCGAGACTTTGTGTAAGGCCGCTTGCAGAAACAATCTATGTTAGGTCATCTGCTTCAATTTAACTAGTAGATCATCGACTACCAGCGTCCATAGCAATGGTAGACGGACCCCGCGTTCAGGAAGCGCCGTACAGCATTAATGCTGATAGTGGTGCTACTTAACTTGGAAGATATGATTCTGTCTCGTAACATCTGATCTATTTACGTTATTGTGCATGAGTTCATATTTTTTAGGAGCAGTGCTCGCGATATGGATTCAAATGATGTGTTGTCAAAAGTTCCTTCTACATTCATGCACACTAGACAATCTCCTTAGATTGAAAGGTGTTTTGAGTTTTGCTGACCAAATAGAATAGTGTAACCTTCGTAGATTTGTCTTTTAAGCACGCAAATTGGGTAGAATGGAGAGGCACAGTTTGCTCCAGTTTATTTCATATGTGCAGATCAATCAGCCTTACAACAGCCATTTGGAAGAAAAACGTAAGTCTAATAGGCTTGTAGGACTTTGGCTGATTCAAGAGTTTATTAGCAAGTTTGGGAATAAAGAACACGTTCACTCCTTTTCAGGAGTAAGGGATATAATCCATAGCAAAACAAGCCCTACAAAAAAAAAAAAAAAAAAAAAAAAATATTTTTGTCTTTATCTTTCTTTGCTATTCGAATCGGTCTAACTTTTAAATAGTTTCTTTCGTCATAAAAAGACACGCCAATATGTTTGCTAGAGACCTAGAGGCCTACTTCGTTGGTTTTGGCCTAGTTTTGTAGTAGTCTAGCTGCTTCGGGCAACTTCTCAATACTATCATAATGGCTACGCCAGCTAGTCCACTTAGACTGTCTAATTGATTTGTTGAAGTCAGTGAGTGGAACTCTACATTCTTCCCATTTACCAAAGTGTTTTTATTGAATAAGCTCCTTACTAGTGTGCGCTTATTAGCTAGTTGCAAATTTCACCAAACAAACTCACCTATAATTTTGGGGCTCCGGCAACTATGCTGTTATGTGTGTGTGAAGGTTAGTAATACCTCACCTAAAAAGTTAGCGGTCATTTCTACCTTTTCTCAAGTTCGTATAGGCCTACCTAGAGAAAAGTTTTCAGAACACACTAAATCCCTGCACCTATGCCAATTGTTTTTCTTAGGCCGCTAGACTTTTCTTGCTTTTCAGATATACGGGAAGTTTCAAACTTGATATGTTGATGGCCATATAGATTTCTCAATACCTCTGGTGCATAGAGTGAGATCCAACACCTTTTCTCCAATAGCGTTAATATATGTGTGCTTACGAGCCTACCTTGATTAGCCATAATTTATTCTAAAGACACAACATATTGTAATAGGTACTTACCCTTTTTATGTTACCGCTCCCCCACACTTTATGGTGATCGCTTGCGTCACAGCCCAATATTAGCTGCCGCCCGGTAAACTTACACAAGCTAATCAGCTGTTGGACTTTTGATGGTGGAAGGGTTTCTTCTTCACCTGGGAAGGCAGAGGTCATTACTAGGTCTTTGACCTCTTGTATTGTTGGAACTTCAAACTAGAACCGCTCGCTACAAATAAAGTTAGTTAGCGGAAGATGTCTAACACCACCACCGATTAGGATAGTTGTACAAGATACTGCCATCGATCGGTCATATATGTTATCAGCTTACCTGATCTCGTGTTTAGACCCCGAATTTGGCTGTTGATCACCCACGGCTCTTGTATGAGAGTTAGAGCGATGTTGTTGGTTTGGGAAATTTTGCACAAGGTAAATGATGCTCCTTTGACATGGTGCAGTTTTGCCTAAAGTACTCTAAGAGTATTCATTTGGTCTCGTTAAGAGATTTTCACTTTTGTCCTGTCAAGAACCTTTGTCCTTAGCATCCTTAGATTGCTTCGGTAAAATTTTATCGATTAAGGGCGGCTGTATGGGAGCGGTCGTTGGTTTACCTGCTACGGTCAATGTGAGCATAATTCCTAAAGTGGGAATCCGAATTGTGCTCCCACTAGCAGTGCTGACAGCCTTACTAATGGAAGGACATGTGCGCTGTTCCGCTTTCTTAAAGGTAGCCACTGGTGGGCAGCTATCCGCATAGGATATTCCTGGACCCGAAAATGACTGGATGGTTTTGTCATCCTAAACCACCTTTGGAGCGTTTTTCATGGAGTGAGAGAAAGCGGGGGTGCATTCCTGTCTTTCAGTTCGTACAACTTCCTCATGGATTCATCATCAATAACGAAATCCAGGTGCAGCATCTGATCCTATGGCAGTCTGCATATTACCTTCCACTGCTTTGTGGAGAATTTGTTCTGGGTACCAGTGGTACCCAGAACTTTATATTTGACTATGTCAAACTTTGAGGAAAAGAGCCATGAACTACACCAGTTCGTGTGAAATCCTTTTCCTCAACCACGTTTAAGGCAAGTCCGCACTTGGACCGCATGTGATCTAAAAATTTGTTGACCTAACCCGCGGTTTTTCATCACATCAAACGATAAGCAGCCACCCCGTTCTAGGTATCACTTTTCTCGGACTGTAAATCGTTGCTTTGGTGCCTGATAGCAGCATCAATGATAGCTTCTTGGAGAAGCATTAGTTGCTCTGGAGAAAGCGAAGTGCTAGTTGAGTTGACCGACGTGAAGTACCCCCTATATAGCTACATTACACGATGGCTTGGTAAGACCCACATAAGCCACCTTAGGTTTTTTAGCGGAAATCAAACCGGGAAATTGCTTTTCTGATCTGACTCGCTTATTCACAGACATAGACTGCGATTTTAAGAGCCTCTGCTCTGCTATATCCTGTTGACATGGCCACCTTGAACTTTCTTCGTTCATTTGTTTTGAGATGCGTAAATTTCGTTGATGAAGTAAGGTTGATGGGTAACTTTGATCCTAACGACAGTTAGATCGGGTTTTTGTGAGACCACATTGCCAATGTCAGAATCAGCGGATTGGACGGTTTCAGAATTTGAAGACATAATTTCAATGATTTCTTGCCGCCTTACCTGATATCGCGACGAAGTGTTCACTGGTACGTTCACTTTTTCCGCAAGCGGAGAAGAAGATGGTGGCCTATGCGGGTTCTTCTTGATGCACACTGTAGCGCAATCGAGAAAGATGAAGGCTTTCAGCCCAATAGGCGGCACGTGCTTCTCGTCAGATTATTCTGTAAAGGAATCATTTGGAGGTGATGCCGTCAAAGAGGTATTATTAACATTATTGTTTATAAAAAAATGGTATTATTCGCGATTGTAAAGTCACCCACGACATAGCCAGTATATTGTGAGAAGTCTAATTGAAACTGGAGGCCGACAGATATCTAGAGTTCGCATATTAGAGACCAACTAGCCATGTACATTCATTCCTTGGCATATGCTACTCCACCTAGGATTTGACGGCCATCATATGTGCATAAAATGTACAAATAAAATTTAAGTGCTAAAGATGAAAGTTTTGCTTAAACAAAACCACATTTTTTCGTGGAAGCTACATTAGACTTTTGAAATATTAGAAATAAATATTCGATTGTCATAAGCATAAACTCTTTAAGGTTAACATTAGGTTTTTGAGAGGTCAAACGACAATTTACTTGTAGTGAAAAAGTTTTATTGTAATGAAATAGTATGTGTTGATTGTAGAGGTTAACTTTCTTCCATCACATGTTCATTCATATATTACTAATAATTTATTTTGTCAAATCAAATTTGTTTTAATATATTACATACATTAAATTTTAAAACTATAACTTCATTCTTCACTTTGATTATATTATTCGCAAAGCTCGGTTCAGGCTTACGCAGCTAAAAAACGCCCTTCGAAAGCACAATTATCTTAACTGTAAAGCTATTTTTACTTTGCTATAAACAGCTTATT